ACCAGGCGACCTCCACCTCTCCCACCAGGCCACCTCTCCCACCAGGCGACCTCCGACCTTCACCTCTTCAACCAGGCGACCTCCGACCTCCACCTCTCCCACCAGGCGAACTCCACCTCTCCCACCAGGCGACCTCCACCTCTCCCACCAGGCGACCTCCACCTCTCCCACCAGGCGACCTCCACCTCTCCCACCAGACGACCTCCACCTCTCCCACCAGACGACCTCCACCTCTCCCACCAGACGACCTCCACCTCTCCCACCAGGCGACCTCCACCTCTCCCACCAGGCGACCTCTACCTCTCCCACCAGGTGACCTCCACCTCTCCCACCAGGCGACCTCCACCTCCTTCAATCACAAATTAACATCTTGACTGCTATTCAAGATAAAAGGTTGTTTTTTTTTCGCCCAATGCAAGACAACTGAACGAGCTTTAAAATGATATTAACGAGTCTATACCGATATACACAAAAGTTGACGAGCGCTTGATTCCACAGCGTCGTTCACAAATGAACATCCCAGTCTCTAGAGCTGAGGCTGCAGTTTGCCACAGGTCCTCCGGGCTCCCATAGAGTTTGGGACCTGCTCGCCTAGGCTAGGGCCAATACTTCACAAATCTTTCAAAAGGATTTCCATTCTAAAACACTGGACCCTATTTCATTTGTCCACAGTCAGCAAATATACCAACAATGAAAGAACTTTCCTTTTGTAACAAGTTTCTTCTTCTTCTCCTTGTTCACCACAAAATGAACATCCCAGGACTTGACTTCTAAAGACGTTGGACCATATGGGTCAGGACACGCTGAAATCAGGGGCTCGTTAATGTGTAGTCATGTGGAGTTATTGGCGTCATCGTAAAGCTTGTTTGTCTTGTGACTTGTGTTCAGTGAAAAGAATACCCAAACATCTCCACTAGACGTTGAGTTATTTACCATTGAAGGAATTGTGGGTCGCCAGGTTTCAGAGGTAAAGTTATCGAGAAAATGGCCGCCACTATTTGGCGACTTCAATACTTTGATAATCGTAAGAAAATGAAAATTTACAATTTTTATGCCTTTAATAACATTCTTCAGTGAAATCCACTAAGAAATGTTTTTTTAATGGTCATAAAAGGTGATGAGCCAAAAAGAAAAACAAAAAAAAAAGATAAAAATAGCAAACTGGCAGAAAATTGACGATTTCCTCGATTTTATTTTTTTGACAAATGCCTGATTTCACCATGGTGCCTCAAATATTTTTTTCCAGAGTCTGCCAATATTTTCACCAAAATGTCTCAAAATCTCATGATTTATAAGAATAAATAAGAAAACATCACACAGCCAAGTTTCTCCATTGATCTCAAAACAAATACGAATGCATCAATTTTTTCAAACAACAAAGATAAACAGGCCCAGCAGTGGATATATACACGTGTACAGAGGAACCAGCCTTAACAGAAACCTCCCTTGTGATTCCTATTGCCTTGGACAAGTTCGACTGTTCTTACTCACACAACATACTGGCACTCATACACATACTCACGTAATTTTCACACAAATATAAACACAAATACTCACATACAGACTCACACAAAAAAGTGTATACAAATACATACACACACACATACACACAAATAAACACACACACACACACACACACACACACACACACACATACCTAGACAGAAATACAATGTACGCTCACTCAATCCCTCACACACACAAACACACCCCAAAACACAAACACTAACTCACTCACAGTCACACATACAAACTATCAAAGAAGAATGAGACAAAAATAAACAGCATACATACAGGTAAGTAGGAGCATCATGATCCTATTCAAAGTTTCGAGTTTCGAGTTTCGAGTTTCGAGTTTCGAGTTTCGAGCATTGATATTGATTGGGTGTTGTAAACACTCTCAACAAAAAGTCAAAAAAAGAACTCCACGGATAATACTAGTACAGCTGCTGAGCTGAAGAAGAAGATCAGTCACGGTACATTTTAGCCTAGCTGCTAAGCTGCAGAAGAAGATCAGTCACGGTACATTTTAGCCTAGCTGCTAAGCTGCAGAAGAAGATCAGTCACGGTACATTTTAGCCTAGCTGCTAAGCTGCAGAAGAAGATCAGTCACAGTAGGCCCTACATTTTAGCCTAGCTGCTGAGCTGCAGAAGAAGATCAGTCACAGTACATTTTAGCCTAGCTGCTGAGCTGAAGAAGAAGATCAGTCACAGTACATTTTAGCCTAGCTGCTGAGCTGCAGAAGAAGATCAGTCACAGTACATTTTAGCCTAGCTGCTGAGCTGCAGAAGAAGATCAGTCACAGTACATTTTAGCCTAGCTGCTGAGCTGCAGAAAAAGATCAGTCACAGTACATTTTAGCCTAGCTGCTGAGCTGAAGAAGAAGATCAGTCACGGTACATTTTAGCCTAGCTGCTGAGCTGAAGAAGAAGATCAGTCACAGTACATTTTAGCCTAGCTGCTAAGCTGCAGAAGAAGATCAGTCACGGTACATTTTAGCCTAGCTGCTGAGCTGAAGAAGAAGATCAGTCACGGTACATTTTAGCCTAGCTGCTAAGCTGCAGAAGAAGATCAGTCACGGTACATTTTAGCCTAGCTGCTAAGCTGCAGAAGAAGATCAGCCACGGTACATTTTAGCCTAGCTGCTAAGCTGCAGAAGAAGATCAGTCACTGTACATTTTAGCCTAGCTGTTAAGCTGCAGAAGAAGATCAGTCACGGTACATTTTAGCCTATTTGTTGCCATGGGTACATTTGGCTATGAACTATGGACACCCATTTGCTCCTGTTGAGATATGAACCAAAATAAGCCTTGATTGAGTTTGAATTGGGAAAAATGGAAACACATCAACTTATTGACAGTGCATGGAAAAAAATGATCAACAAATAACCATTGTTTTACTACATCGGGAATGAACACAAGTCGAAGCTACAAGTGGCATCTTCACATCACAAACAATTGGAGGAAAAGCTCACAGGAAAACAATATACACGTTCACAGAAAACAGAGGGGAACTCAAAAATATTTAAAGTTTTAAAACTTGGACTAGAATTTTCACTAGGTTTGATTGGTCAATGTTTGAGAAACTGGAGATGCACAGATAGAAAAAGACAGAAGGACCCTAAGAATAAAAGGAGAAGAAATAAAAAACGAGGAAGAATGTGTTTGGGAATCCCATCCAAGGTATGTATCTGTGAGAACCTCTCTGACCAGAGACATTATCAGCCAGGAAGGATCTGGGAAGGAAGGGATGGTGAGGTGGACTGGTGTGTGTGTCTATGTGTGTGAGTGAGTGTGTTTATGTGTGTGAGTGTGTGTGTGTGTATTTATGTTGGTGTGTGTGTGTGTGTGTGTGTGTGTGTGTGTGTGTGTGTGTGTGTGTGTGTTTATGAGTGTGTGTAATTAATATGTGTCTGCATATAAGTGTGACATGTGAAAAAAGGGGACTGCATGGGGGAGGGGGGAGTTGATGGTGGTGGGTGTCTCATATAACAAACCAACACTTCAAGTCAACAAATCGTTGAACAAAATGGAATTTTTCACAGCTCTGGGCACCGGCAACCTCTCCACCCCAGCCACAAGACGATTCTTCATACACATTCTCACAGTCAAGGTCGCTAACTCTCTCAGAGCCCTCGGGCTTCTTGACATCTCCACCAAACACCGCAGACAGTCTCGGAAATCTTCCGGTAGATGCTGAGCCTTAGACAGGGTCAGACGTTCCTGTTCCGCTTCTTGAGGGGCGAGACGCGACAAAACAGGAGTCGGCTTCCAATCGGCGGGCGCAGTTCTAAAAGCATCATCCTCAAAAATCTGGGCTTTGTCATGCACTCTGTACCCAGATCGGGTCATCAGTACGCACAGTCGAAGGAAACCTTCCATGTACGCCAATTCAAAAGGGTCAATAACATACTCGATCTGTCTCCGTTTCTTGTACACATTTCCTTTGATCTTGAGGTCGCAGTTGTAAAAGATCAAGGCCTTTAGGGTCGCGAGGTCGCCCGTGCTGGCTGAAACCAGGGCCGGTGTGACTCCTGAATGAACTGTGGGGACGAGAACACACAGAAATTGTTTATTGAAGGAAAGAGAAGACCCTCCACATACATGAAATAACAGTTATTCCGAGCAGGGAAACGGCAAGACAAGACACACAGATTTGTTTATTGGAGGAAAGAGAAGACCATCTACATACATGAAATAACAGTTATTCTGAGCAAGGAAACAGCAAGACAGACACACAGATTTGTTTATTGGAGGAAAGAGAAGACCATCTACATACATGAAATAACAGTTATTCTGAGCAAGGAAACAGCAAGACAGACACACAGATTTGTTTATTGGAGGAAAGAGAAGACCATCTACATACATGAAATAACAGTTATTCTGAGCAAGGAAACAGCAAGACAGACACACAGATTTGTTTATTGGAGGAAAGAGAAGACCATCTACATACATGAAATAACAGTTATTCTGAGCAAGGAAACAGCAAGACAGACACACAGATTTGTTTATTGGAGGAAAGAGAAGACCATCTACATACATGAAATAACAGTTATTCCGAGCAGGGAAACGGCAAGACAAGACACACAGATTTGTTTATTGGAGGAAAGAGAAGACCATCTACATACATGAAATAACAGTTATTCTGAGCAAGGAAACAGCAAGACAGACACACAGATTTGTTTATTGGAGGAAAGAGAAGACCATCTACATACATGAAATAACAGTTATTCTGAGCAAGGAAACAGCAAGACAGACACACAGATTTGTTTATTGATAATAGAAGGCCCCTCTACTTCCATGAAATAACAGTTTTTCCTGAGCCAGGAAACCAGCCAGGACAGACACACAGATTTGTTTTATGGGAGAAAGAGAAGGCCCATCTCCATACTATGAAATTACAGTTATTCTGAGCAAGGAAACAGCAAGACAGACTCACAGATTTTGTTTATTTGTAGGAAAGAGAGGACCATCTACATACATGAATTAACAGTTATTCTGAGCAAAGAAAACAGCTAGACAGACACACAGATTTGTTTATTGGAGGAAAGAGAAGACCATCTACATACATGAAATAACAATTATTCTGAGCAAGGAAACAGCAAGACAGACACACAGATTTGTTTATTGGAGGAAAGAGAAGACCATCTACATACATGAAATAACAGTTATTCTGAGCAAGGAAACAGCAAGACAGACACACAGATTTGTTTATTGGAGGAAAGAGAGGACCATCTACATACATGAAATAACAGTTATTCTGAGCAAGGAAACAGCAAGACAGACACACAGATTTGTTTATTGGAGGAAAGAGAGGACTATCGTTGTGGTGATTGATCCAGGAACAGCTGGGCTCTTGCCTTAGTGAGAAGCCCATCAGCATATAAACATTTATTGAGAGAAGCAAGATAGACATAGAGAAATCCGAAAATGAAGGAATATAAATAGGACCTGGTACCAGTGGCACTCACCAACCACCCGCTCACAAACAGATGAGACTGGTACCCCCCCAAAAAAAAATAATTAATTAATTTAAAAAAAAAAAAAATTTAAAAAAAAATTTTAAAAAAAAAAAAAAAAAAAAAAAAAAAAATATATATATATATATATATATATATATAGATAGATAGATATACATCTGTAACTATATCTCTCTCTCTCTCTCTCTCTCTCTCTCTCTCTCTCTCTCTCTCTCTCTCTCTCTCTCTATATATATATATATATATATATATATATATATAGATACAGATGTATATATATATATATAAGTGAAAAATGACTGTAGTTGCAAACTGAAAATCATGAGGGTACCAATTGTGAAAGCTTGTTGACTCATAAGGGTATTTCTGTTCAACTGTTGGTTGATTATTGTTGGTAGATTTCCCATTCAACAACACTGAACAATAAACCACCAGTCAAACATATAGAAGTTATGAGTCCACAAGCTTTTAAAATTGGCACCCTCACAATTTTCAGTTTGTGACTACCATCGTTTTTCCCCTGTGCTCTTCATATATATATATATTATATATATATATATATATATATATATATATATATATTACATATACACATAAAATGTTAATTTCCTACAAGAAAAACTGAAACAACAAAACCAAAACAAAAAAAAAGATGGGAAAAAACTTTAATTTAAAAAAAAAGCAAGTTATTAAAAAAAAAACAAGTAGTAAAAGTATACACCTTCTAGAACTAGA